TAAAATGTTAATGCTCGGTAGGTCTATTTTGATGCGTCAATTCTAGAAAAGCTTTTGGAACAACGGTATCGCTATTGCACGGACACAGATTAAACTATGCTGTCTCTTCAGAGGTTCCGAAACTTGGAAACATGATTTCATAGTTCGAGGTTATTTTATATTTTATCAGAATATAAATTTTGTATTTATTTTATATTTATATTTAATATCAGAATATTTTTTCAGGCTCACGCAAGGATTTTAAGATTATCACTTAATTCTTCGTGATAATATTGGAAAGAATGGAGGTCGATATGTGTTAGCAAAGAATGTCTTTACATTTTTCTAAAATACGAAACCATCTTATTGCAGAAGTTGCAAGCATACAATTTTATCAAATACATAAAAAAAGATCAGGAGATATCGTTCACACTGACCATTATTACACAAAGTAGTTTTTGAGGAAAATATTCTTAGCACTTTGAAAAATCCGCGTCCGCAAATTAAGGACTCGACTAGGTCAAGAAGCATGATGTAATAGGGTTAGGAACATAAAAATGTGAACTGGTCAGGGAAGGCCCCGAGAACTTATCAGAGTGAAAAAATCTTTTCTCCGTTTTAAAATGTATATTTCTTCGATTGTATTAATTGTTAGAAGAGAAAAAGAGAGAGAGAGCGAGAGAGGGTGAGAGAGAGAGAGAGAGAGCGACTGAGCGAGAGAGAGAGAGAGAAGGATGAGAGAGTGAGGGAGAGAAAGAGAGGGAGGGTGGAGAGAAAGAGAGAGAGAGAGAGAGGATACTGTTTGCTTTCTGGTTCGTCATCGAAACGATCGCGGCCCAAATATTTGCGACGAAAATTGCGAAGCTTGATCTGAAACTGTGCAAAGTGGATTTTAGTATTAACCGCGAGCCGAAGCTAATTGGTTGCACGAGTTGATCACGAAACGCTGTTCTAATCGTCCGTTTCCGACACCGTTAGAGGTGGTTCGCCTAAACCAAAAAGCTGAAAATCTGGCAAGCTCGAATTTCGTCTTGCGAGATAGAACATTGCCTTCTCGTGCACAGTAAAATTTTATCTCCTCCGCCATGACGGTTATTATAGCGAGTTAGAGTAGTTCAGAACGAACTAAACAAGAAAAAATATTCTTCGATAAATCTTGTTTTTTTCATTTAACCTCGGACGGACTTAGATTGGGATTAGTCTTGAAACAACTTATCTGTTTTCTTTGCGTTGCAAACGTTCAGGGCCAATGCTTTTCGTAAAATATCTTCGCTGAACTAACAACGATTCCTCGATAACGATTCTGGAGATGCTAGCGACGATAACTAATTTAAAAAAAAATAGTTTAGATAGCAGAAATAGCTTGCTTGTAATGCAGATCTTACGATTAAAATCGTCTCTCCGATTTTCGACAGTTTTAGCAAACGTGTAAATCATTTTTGTGAATTTAGACAATAACAATTGTTCCACAGGTTGAAGCACGAATGAATGTATTAAACATACTTTAATACTATTCGTTACAAACACATGAATAATACTATTGAGTAAGAATCAGAAATGTACTTTGTCATGGTGATATTATTTTCATGGGGAAAATATGGGTAACCGAGATGTTCAAGCTTAGATCAGTCGATTACGATTCATAACTGCAAGCATATGTACATAAAAATTAGTAAAAATTGAGGGCGACCAGACCTGTGTATAGTCTTTGCCACTTGGAGAGTATATCTGGAAGATTAAACTGGAATAAATTGGAGCTGAACCGGACTGGAATGAACTGGACCAAAGAAGCGAAACAATTAATGCTCTGATCGTTCACAGTTTCGAAGAAATCGCTCATGGCTCAACGATTTCGGTAAAGAACGATTAAGAAAAGCACATTCAAAATAGTTATCGTTCAAGTAACACTGAAAAGTATCAAAAAGAAAGCAGTGGTGGCATCGTAAAATAGATCTATCTGACTTTGTTGCACGACATGGTTTGATCTGCGTTTAACTCTTTGACACTAAATCTACCGGGTGGGACAAAAGTGTCCGGTATTGTTATAAAATAATCAAAATTATGATTATTTATATTCTATAAATATTAATCTATATTAATGAATCTCTAATATTTAAAGAAATTATATAATATATAATATTTATATTTTAATATTGATTTAAATATTAAATTAAATTATTAAATTAAAAATTAATTTTAATTTAAATACTCATCTATTAATCTGTAATATATTATGTTATATTTCATTCGAAACGATAAAATAAAGAAGAATATCTCAATCCCATAATAAAAATGGTGAAGAGGTCTCAATAAATTTAGTCTCTTCATTCTTATAAAACAACATACGTCAGTTGTTGTTTGTCGACAGGTTTAGTGTTAAGAAGAAATATTATTATTTTGATGTTGTAAGGTTCAAGTGTCTAATTCAAACAATTTAATTATTTCAATCAGGAAAGATCAGTAGAGAAAGGAGAAAATATTTTCAAATGAAGTCAGATGATACTCGTTAACACAATCGAACAGATTACAGTTAGTGAATTAGTCAGCATATTTCGATCCTCCTGCTTTTCTTCGAAACGGCCAAAGCATTCCTCTCAAAGACGATCTCGAAATTCTCTGAATAACCCTTAGGTACTTATATTGATGACGTAGACGACATGCGGTAAATTAAAAGTTCCGTTCCATGGCAACAACTTCTTAGAACCGTTGCCTTCGAATTTTACGGTATTACAAAACACTTTGCCCATCTGTGGACTGTTTCAATTTATGGCAGATCTGACCGCGGTCTTCCTAGGTCACTAGTCACACATAGCTGCTTACTTTCATCTACCTGCGCGTCATTGGGATTTTCCTTCTTCCAATCGTCATGCAAACAGAGATCGTAAAGGTTACACAAGTTTTAACTATCAACAACTGGTATGTACGAGTTCTATCTAAAATTAATTATGATGAAAATTAATTATGTTATCGGCGTAAAAAGATTCTGTCCAATATCGAGATCGCTTCCAATTAATGTACTTTTTTCAAGCTTGAAATTTCAGGTGAAATTTATTCGCTATACAGTAAAGTGAATGTACTTAATCATAAACCTTAAATAATAATTCATAGCTTATTTATACATTCATATTACATGTTGTTTTTAAGAATAATACGATATGACTTTGTTTACGAATTATTAACGAAAAACACTGACCAATGAGAGGCCAGCTCGGCTGGCGCAAGGCGGTCAAAGTCCATTTCTGCTGATTGGCTCGGCCGTCTCGCGCCATTTGATCTCGCCTCTCATTGGTTACTGTTTATCGCTAATAACTCGTAAACAAAGCCGCGGATTGCATTTCCGCTAAGGAAAATGTTACTTCAAATGACCTCAGGAATCTCCCATTTCCGAATTGCGAGACATTTATAGGACACCCTGTATATCAGTAACTTAGTAGCTTAAAACTGTTTCTACTAACCACCATGTCTGTTTTAATACCATAATTTTGGGACATCCTGTATATTGATTATACTTATATCCATAAATTGCATAACTTCAAACAAAAAGTATTGGTTCAGATAAGCTAGGTGCCTAGCTATTGCAATTATTCATATATTTAGCGTGCAAACGTTGTTATCAATGATAAAGGCAAAAGAAATGACAAGACTCGTCATACATTTTAAAAAATGGTGAAATATAAAAATATCGTAAATTATAAAGACACGAATATGTATGTTTCTTTTTATAAGCCACAGAAAATATAATACTGATTTGAGGAAATGTTCCATCATGGCAGAAAAATTGTGCAACATTTTTGGCAACATCTGTTGTCATCGTTCGAAGTATTACAAACTCCGCGATCATATATAATCGAAATTCTCGAGAATATTTGGGATTCTCGAAAATGTCATTCTCAAAAGCAGGGCTTGAATGAAACTGTTAAGATTTTCAATTATTTCTCATATAACAGTTATTTTTCAAGAAAACAGTTGTAAATCTGCTGACATTCTACTTTAAAAAAGTTAAGAGTGTTACATAGGTTACGTTTGAGGTTGAAACTAGTGATCCACTAGTGATTTCACGTACACACGTGTAATTAATGTTCACGTGTTTTGATCCGTGTCATTTTTAACACACGTGTACACGTGTATTCCAGTACACGTGTACACGTGTATCGAAATCCGTCTGGTATTAATGAAAATACTTTGGAAAATTTATTACTCCTACAACTAAAACTACACATGTATGTAAATAATGGCTCTTTGTTTTGTCCAATCTTCCTATTAATGTAAACGAACAATAAAATAATTGCACAAAATTCACGATTTGCTTACTCATCTACATTTATCCTATATAAAATTTCTTAAGTAGTGCTAAGTGTAACTGAAGAGTAGTATAAACTTTTATAGTTTACTTTAAAATATCTGTTAAAAAATAAATATTCTTTCAGAACTTTTATTAATTACATATAAAATAACTGTTAAAATTGAACTTTTATAACAGATTTAAAGTATTAATGCAAAAGTTAACTTTAACCAGAAAAAGAAATAATTCCCAGAAGTTAGAAGTTTGCTCTAAATAACCTGTATTTATAAAAGTTTTCAGCTGAAAGTATCAGTGCTTCCGTAAACAATGAGGACGAACGCAACAAGTTGCTATGAAATCATGAAATTTGGAAAATGGAGTGGAAATGACGTATTGATTATACATATGCATCTCTGTAGTAACTATAAAATATTTAAGTTATTTTCTTTAACTTTCGAAGCTCTCGAGAAACCCGACACTTTTGAGATCCCCGATGTTATAGAATCCTGAAATGTTCAGGAAACCGACCGGATCGCGATAAAAAATATTCTGACTCGTTCGATATTTTTAAGTTCTTGCACACCTCTATCGATCATTATTTGTTACCGAGTCGACGGAAATTAGCTGGGCTGCAATTAGGTTATGTGTCCGGATCGCATTTGCTCGCCCGGACTCCGCGTGCGACGGAAAATTGTAAAGGTCATCGAAGTCCGAGGCTGGAAAATGAACGTGAACTTACAAGTGCCCTCGCCAGCGGTATCCACACGCCAGCAATAGCCCGGATTAACGAGCTTCCGGGAAGCGGTGGCCGGATACTTCCATCGCAAGGGTTTGTTGCTCAGTGCCTCGTGATCGGACTCGACCCGATGGGTTTCGATGTTCACCGGACTCTGCCGCGAGCCGGCGGCCATTGGGAATTTCGTCACCCACGTGCTGGGTCCTGTAACAAACACGGACAACAGCAATTAGAGGAGCGGTCATGAAAAAACGATGAATTTCCATCTTAAGTTGGTTTGTAATTTTATTTATATCGTTCGTTTCGTTCAGAGTTGGGAAAAGTTTCATTCGGATGTCGGATAAGAGATAAGGGATTAACGAATAAGATTTTATCCGACATTATCGAATAAATATCCAGTCGAATAAAAATTTAGCTAAGTCATAAAAGTTCACTTAAGCCATGATATCGATTCGATTCTAGACGAATTAAAAAAAAGTCCTTGGCTAAAATGCGTGTTATGTTTAGACATGTCTATTCGATTGATTAAATGGTTGCTAAGAAAATGGAACATGAATTTGCAATTAGACCGCGGATCTTTATGCAAGTTCGCATTTTCATACGTCATTTTACAAAAATTGGAATTAAAGAACCGTTTCCTTTAATTAACTAAAAAAATTACTCATTGTAAAATGAAAATGATTGATGATTTATGTTTCCTTGCACTTCAAAATTCTGCACATGCCATAAATGTGTAAAGATTCACAGTTTCATATCTATGTACTTATAATTATAACATCCTCTGAAGTCTAAGGAGAAGCTGTCATATCTCGTGTTCTTGCGAAGTTGCTGTAAAAATAATAATTTCTTTCATTTCGTTATCATTAATGATAACACGTTGTTGAACAATTCTTGATTGAAGAGTACATTTTGCAACAGTATTATCAGTAGAGTGCAGATTTTGTTGCAAACTAAAAATTGCCAGTATCAGTTGCCATACATAGAAGTTAAATATAACGTTCTTGCTTACATAATTGTATTAAATTAACAATAATTCATGGGAACTTCAAAACTCTTTTAATATTTTTGCTATTTCAAATTGCAACTACTTAATTTTGTCATAAACGTATAAAATCCGCAGCCTAATTATCATAATCCAATAGGATAAGCCCGGAAGAGTTCGGCCAGCGAGAGAAACCGTTCAGTGTAAATATCTCGAAACGACGATGGCATATGCTAAAAGTCGGAAAATACTTGAATAAATTGATTGTTGATCATGTGTTGCAATTGTCGCGAAACTGTAAATCGATTTTGCAAATTACGTTTAAAGCTTTAGGCGGATCTGAAAGTTTTTTTATAGTACCAAAAATTATGATACTTCTGGGAAATGAGGGGTCCCTGAGATTATTTGAAGCAACTTTTCCCTTTACAAAAATTTTCTCCGAGGCATCGTTAACGAATTATTAATAAAAAAAACACTGACCAATGAGAGGCCAGCTCGGTTGGCGCAAGGCGGACGAGCCAACGAGCGGTCGAAATCCAGTTCTGCTGATTGGCTAGACCGCCTTGCGCCAGCCGAGCTCGCTTCTGATTGGTCAGCGTGTTTCATTAATATCTCGTAAACAAAGCCGCGAATTGCATTCTCTCTCTCTAAGGGAAAAGTTACTTCAAATGACCTCAGGAACCCCTCATTTCTCGGAAATAACATAATTTTGAGACAAAGTAACTTAGCAGTAATTGACAGATAGGTAAATTTATTTAAACTATTTTAAATTTAAGGGATATGTTATCCATGAAACTGCGGTACAACCTCAATAGCACGCATGTATATTCATTTCTAGTTTATATTAAAAATGAGAGAGAGTTTCACCACATTAATTGTTCCGTCCTTCAACGATATTTTGATTCTTTTTCTATCCGGTTTTCTGCAAAGCGAATTTACTTTCTTTTCAAATTGCAAGTAGCTTAATGTCCAAAGAATTCCATTTGGCTTAGCGAGACAATGTCATGGTTGTAAAACGCGATAGGCAACTTGCAAACATTATAAATAGTTCAGAGAACATTAAGATAATGAAAAACAAGGGAACTATAAAGAAAGATAGGAATGTTTCAATTAAAAGAAGGAAGAATGTAAAGAAACGTAGAAAACAATTAGAACAATCATACAACTCGAGCAGAAATAATCCAGTTTTATAAGAAAGTGACACGTCATTAGAAGAATGGAACCAAAATGAATGCGTGAGATGCAGAGAGGACTGCATACTTCGAAACTACAAAAAGTGACGACTGACTTAAATGTGTAAGGTGTAGACGTTGTTAACACGAGGGATGCTCCAAATATGAGAATTTTTGCGATTTATGTGAGAAGCTGAAGAAAATTTAATATATGAATTACTTTTTTTATTTATAATACTTTTTATGAGCTACAGTCAAGGCTATTTTTCGAGGTCGCTCTCATCTGTAGTAAGTGGACGCTCTATCCCGGTGATACGGGTAAGATTGTCCACTTATAGTATCTTTATTTTTTGCTTGAAAATTGAAGCATATATTTTGCGTCAATTATATATATATAATTATTATATATATATGCTACAATTTGTACAAATACAATTGTATTATATATATATAATTATACATCGCTGTAATTTGGTCAATACAATAAAATTCTGAAAAATCACAGGAATACGGTATTTTTTTCAAGAAGTGATCTGACTCTTCCGGACTTACCCTACAGATGTTGGTGTTAGGGCAAATAAGTTTCTATGACATCGAATGAAGTCGTTATAACACTTCTTGCATCTTAATTCGACATTTAATTTTCTCCAGAAATTACGTGATCCACACGAATTGTGTAAGAATAGGCGCTAAATAATTCTACAATATCTAATAAATTTTATAAAGGTGTATGATATCGCAATCGCGATGTCTCGATTGCTTTCTTAATCTTTTTACTACACGTAGCTATGCGGATGAAAACTTTATCAGCGAGGACTTATCGGCTCTTTCGAACAGACACGCGGAACGAACTATTTCGGTGGTCTCTGCGTGAACAAACTAAACTTCGAGATTTCAGTGTCCGATTTGCCAACGGATTCGTTAGTGGAATTCAATCTGCGACAGAGGGAACACGTTCACGTTTCCAGTGAAAATAAACGGCAACTCACGGCATTCACGCTTCTGTTTGTAACGCGAGTTTATCGTGAACAATATCTGAATCGCGTGGGCACACTGAAGAAAACTTTGTATGCATGTATGTATGTATGTATGTACAACCGCACGTGACTCGTGCACGTGATAACGAATGCTTCAACTTAAAGCCTGTGTCGACCGATTAATTGTTCCGATTGCAGGGACCAGTACTACTTCTACATAGTGATAGGTGAAATATTATTTTAAACAGTAAATAGTCGGCGATCAATTTTACTTATATGCTTAGAAAGCGCTCTAAAGATAAAACACTTTATTTTGTGTAAACAGTTCTGCAAACGGTATCGTTACCGATAGATTCGTTGAATTCATATGAAACCGTGTGTTCTGAGTTGCACTTAACACTTTACTTTTACAATTATGATTTCTTGCGATACGATTCTACTTCCTTTTTATTTTTGTCTTAATTATCGAGAAATACCTATGATACATATTGCAAATAAAACATTTTATTTTCTGTATCAGACTGTCAACGCGGACGTGATTTATTTCCCGAACTTGTCCATGAATTCTTCAAATAAATTTTTACACAATTCTTACACTTAAAAAGCGCACTAAAGATAAAACACTTTATTTTGTGTAAACAGTTCTATAAACGGCATCGTTACCGATAGATTCGCTGTATTCATACGAAAGCGTGAATTCTGAGTTGCACTTAAAACTTCACTTTTACAATTATGATTTCTTGCGATACGATTCTACTTCCTTTCTATTTTTGTCTTAATTATCGAGAAATATCTATGATACATATTGCAAATAAAACATTTTATTTTCTGTATCAGATTGTCATCGTGGACGTGATTTATTTCCCGAACTTGTCCACTGAATTCTTTAAATAAATTTTTACACAATTCTTGTCGATCCTAGAGTCATATAAGAAATGGAGATATGAAAAATGAAATGTTTAAAATATAATAATTTGCGTGAAAATTGTCAGAATTTTTTCAAGACATCGTCAACAAGTTGTTAACGAAAAACACTGACCAATGAGAAGCGTGCTTGGCTGGCGCGAGGCTCCCGAACCAACGAGTGGCCGAGCCAATGGGCGGCCGAACCAACGAGGGGCCGAAGCTCAATTCTGTTGATTGGCTCCACCGCCTAGCGCCAGCCGAGTGCTCGCCCCACATTGGTTAGTGTTTTTCGTTAATAACTCGTAAACAAAGCAGCGGATTGCATTCTCGCTAAGAAAAAAGTTACTTTAAATAACCTTAGGAACTCCCCATTTTCCGGAAATACCATAATTTTGGAACACCCTGTATAGTGTACATCTTATTCGAGATTTCGGACCGCTTGGGATACCGATCTGGCAAATAAACACATCTGGCATTTTTCGACTATAATCATGTCACAACTGTATTACCATTTGTTTGTAACGACTTTATAGTTTCAGAATTGAGTCTTTGAGAGAATTCTATCACAAAAAGATATAAATCGTTCAACCGGTCAAATGACCGGTCGTTGTAGGAATAGTGCTAAAATAAGTGTAGACACACAGCCATTTCTATTTCTACATTTGTATTTTGCTTAAAATTCCGATACCTTTTCGCTGATCCTGATTTCTCTATTTGCTCGTATCCCGTGTCACTGTGTTTAATTATTAAATCGAAAGTGTTCAGTCGCGGACGATCCATTTTCGGCGTACACGCGACGATCTGGCGATGATAAGGACTTACGTTTACACATTTCACGAGCAATGCCAATGAATCAGTCGGGCGAACGCTTCCGAAACATTGTCAATGTCTCCGGATCATTATCTCCGCCGGTGAATGATAAAACCGCGCCTCGTCGGACGCGATTAAACATTCATTTATCGTAGCACGGTATCATTTGGGAGTTCGACGCGTGGATCATGGCCTCTCAAGAGACGCCAGCAGAATAGTGCAATTAGCGTCGGACGACACGAGACCGATGGAATTATCGTAAAATCGTCGTATTTCCATTAGTTCGAATGGCCTAACCCCATTTTCTAATGATGTTCCAGGAAATCGACGGTAATTGACGTCGGGCATTACAAACTA